TTTCACAAATACTGTTGTCTAGCCAGGTATCTTCCATCCTATATCTGTGCAGTTCAATTTTTTTTCTGCCTAGGTGTAGGACCCTACATTTCTCCCTGTTGAAATTCATTTTGTTAGTTTTGGCCCAGAACTCTAATCTGTCAAAATCATTTTGAATTTTACTCCTGTCCTCTGGGAATTAGCAACCCCTCCCAATTTGGTATCATCTGCAAATTTAATCAGCATACTCAATATTTCTTCATCCAAGTCATTGATAAAGATGTTGAATAGCACAGGGCCCAGAACACAACATAGATATCAAATCTTGGGAAGTAATTTAAAAAGGCTATCCCTGCTAACCAAATCAAAGGCCTTTGTGAGATCCAGGAAGCCCAGAAAGAGTGGCTGTCGTTGTTCCATACATTTCCCCTGCAACTGTCTGAGGGAGAATACCATGTCAGTGGTAGATCTATTAGCTAGGTAATAACAAACTGTCTGTTTAATGATCTGCTCTAGAATTTTTCCAGGAACTGATGTCAGGCTGACTGGGTGATAATTATTTGGGTCTTCTTCTTTTTTTCCTTTTTGAAGGTAGGGACATTTGCCCTCCTCCAGTCTTTGGGAACTTCTGTTCTCCAAGAATACTCAAATATTATTGCCAATGGTTCTGAAATTACTTCTGCCAGTTCTTTTAATATCCTTGGATTTAATTCATCTGGCCCTGGAGACTTGAATTCATTTAGAGTACCCAGGTGAATACCTGCACTACTTCTCCACCTATTCTGTGCTGCATTTTCCCCACTGCATCACCTGCTCTTCGCCCCTTAGATTAAGCACTATTTTCCTTTTTGGAGAAAACTGAGACAAAGAAGATGATGAGAAGTTCAGCCTTTTCCCTGTTCTCTGTTAGTAGTTGGCCATCTTCTCTATGCAGCGCCCCTATCTTTTCCTTGTTTTTCCTTTTGCTGCGGGCATAGCTAAAAATCCCTTTTTATTGTTTTTAATCTGTCTGGCAAGCCTGAGTTCATTCTGCACTTTTGCTTTTCTTACCTTCCTCCTACCTATACAGTGGGGTCTCTACTTAAGAACTTAATCCGTATTGGAAGGTGGTTCTCAAGTTGAAAAGTTCTTATGTTGAATCTGCATTTCCCATAGGAATGCATTGAAAACCATTTAATCCGTATCTGCTCTTTTCCGT